ATCTCACGGCGCCGAAAGAGCTTCCAGATTCCGCCGCATACCAAAATGAACGGGATCGAGCACATTGTCCGTGAACTTGGTCGGCAGCGGGCACGAAATGCATACTACCGAGATTGCTATGCCCTGTTCAAACTATTGCAAGACCTCACGGAACAGACGTCCCACGAACTACAGAGCATCTACACATCAGATGGCAGCCGTCCGGCCTACGCCGTCCACCGAATCGTCTGGAAACTTCAAAACCAAGTGTCTAATTTGATTGAACAGGCATGCGAAGCGCAAGCCACGTGTGAAGAGCTGTGTCCGGTTGACCGCATCTTCTCCGCTCGGGAAGTGTTGGAACCTATCAGACGACTGTACAACGATGCAAATGCAGCTGCGCTTGGTAGACATGCGATCAGAGATAAAAAAGACCAAGTCGGAGCTCGGCTGACTGAAGCTAGCAAGAGTGACGGAGGGTAGTTTGGGAAGTTCGATTCAAGTTATCTTGTGATTCTGTCAATTTGTGATTCTGTCTTGCCTCGTTACTAGTGGAACGGCCAAAGGCTACGCCTGTCAGATAATCCTGAATATTATGAGTAACGCTTCCAGATCCAAATCAGTTAAGACGCAATATCAGAGGCTTAGCATCGACAACTTCTATTACACCCATTAACTGCGAGAGCAAACACCAAAGGGCCACAGCACGCGTCGAAACCCTCTTACCTGGGTCGCAACCCACGAGACGACACCAGGATAATAATCAAATACAGCAACAAAAGGGCTGGATGAGCCATATGAAGAACGCACCAACGGAACAGGATGTGGCTAGCCATATTAGCGTGAGCATTGATCCACCCAAGCCAGCCTGGACCCCGAATGGGTGCAAACTTGTCTTAATTCCCGCGGTGAAAAGACTGTACATCACGGTGACTCCGACCGTGGCGAGAGCGATCAGCAATGCCGAAACCTAGTTATGTCAGAGAAACGTCATGAAAGCTGTTCCGATGTCACTTACTATGCAAAACAGCGCAAGGAGTCTGTTTCCCCGAGCCAGAAGGGTCCTCTGAGCCCCAAGAATTACGACTAAAACGGTGGAGACAAATCCGGCAATGTAAAGGCTGATAATGCCATGCGAAAGCTTTCGATAGCCCGAGATGGCCTTTGCATCCACCTTTGGCAGCACTTTGTCGACATCGACGGGCGTAGAGTCCAGCACGGCAGACAGATCAAAGGCGAAGGATGTGCGAGGCTCCGAGCACACGGCCTTGGAGCCATCGCGGGACTTGCAGTAGCCCCAGAGCCCAATGTAGTAGTACTGGAACAGATGTGATTTCAACTCTGTCAGTTGAGCATGGATCGCTCCTTGAGCAGCTGAAGTGGCCGCCGCGGATGCATCTGCCGCGCCAGCATACACGCTGGATGCCGTGTCGGTGAAGCTGTTGCCAGCTCCTTCGCTGATATCTGGCGGATGGAAACTGGGAAGGATGGGAGAATCGCGGGTGACCAGATGGTCGAATCGTGGAAACTCGGACAGATCGATCTACTTCATGTTTAGCCAAAGATCCATGCAATTTAGAGTGCAAGAATATCTCACTTTCATAAAGTACAGCCCTTTCGGCGCAGATGGTGAAGTGCAGCCGACAAAGGCAATGGACAGACAGACAAGGACCACCACTGATAGAGATAAGGCGATGGCTGAGATAATCTGGTCCAATCTGCTTCACCCGGGGAGCTTCATGATGGCTACAAGAGAATTTGAAGCAAGCAGACTAGTAGGGTAGAAAAGCTGCAAGTGAGAGAATTGAAGACTTTTCAAGGCTTAATAAATCGTGCAGTGGGCGTTCATGTTAAGTAACAGAAAGAGAGGCGGTTGATGTCCTGAAGCCGATGTCTTGTGAATGTGAATTTGCGACCTCATTTTGTGTCTTTGCTGATTTGTCTGACGGTTCAATTTTCTTGCGACAGCTGATGCGATTCAAGTGCTCACTTCTCAAGCTAGGCACTTACTCTGACCTATTGACCTCAATTAGTAGACATAATTTTGTGGAGCAACAGTACGGCGAGGCATGATTTGAGCCATCTGGAATGAGATATCCCTCAATTATTCATGTCAGTGACAAGTCCTGGACCTGGTATAAAGTCGCCTCGCAGCGATGCTCCCTCCAAGTGCATCTTGCAAAGACAATTTGTGCCTATCATGGCCCCTACAAGACAGTCAGAATTGGCAGATCTGGAGCGCAAGTTGTTCTCGTACCATCAAAGTCACTTCCAGTTATCTGCCAGGGTGCACCTCTCCCACCTGACATTCGAAAAAGGGTTTCGCGCATGGATGGATGACCGTGACAATGTCCAGCGCCTGGAGAAAACCCTGAAAATTCAAGGCTGTCGCCGGCTCATGGGAGACAACCATGTGCCCGTAGTTGTGCCCCGATCTGACTGGGAGCGTCGTGTGAGTCCGCGCTACGGCAATGGCATTATGCCGAGCTTGAATGTAGACCTGGACTACCGACTGCACGCGTTGGATCACGAGAATCTGATCGCAGCAGCCCGGAAGAAGCTCGATCCGGAAGACCAGTGGTGGATTGTGGACGTCTATGTGACTGACGATGAAGGTACGTTGACTGACCACAAGGTCTACCCCACGAGCTCTTTTCGATGCGGCTGACCTGATACCGTCTTAGAGGGTCAAGATCTTGACAGAGACGTGTTACAGAGAAAGTTCGTTCAATCCTTAAAAGAAAGATACCCGAACGACAACCGACCGCCCGACGGGCTGATTTACGAGCGAATCAACTACTACGAAGGGTACCTGGATGGACCCGAGGACCGATTGGCTGCCAACAACTGGTGGGTCATTTTGCAGGCAGTGGCGGGCAGCAAAAAAGGTGGATATCTGCGGCGATTCTTCAAGAATGCGGCCCTCCATCGAAAGTTGAACTCCTTGCTGGTCATCCGGGGACTCTGGGAAGGCATGCGGATTGGACTGCTACATAAAGTGACCGCCATGCACTGCGATGAGGTGCGTCGATATTCTGTCACCCTGAAATGAATGGGCAGATCCTGACTAACTTGGATGCCGCATGTAGCCAATGATCTGCTACTGGGACCTGATCTTCCAGACATTCCTGACACTGGTCGGGGGAAGGACTGATCTGCTACCTCTGATAGACGGGCGTACCGTTGGTTTGATACAAGCTCGTGCGCCAAAGCTCTCCACAAATGACCTACAGTTCCTGCAACTCCAAATGGACGAGGGAAAGCTCTTTGCAGAGTTTGAGGAAGGACAGCGAAAGGACATCTGGGAGCGATTGAAAGGAATCGATTATCCAATTCCAACGCTGAAGACGTTTTTCAAGGATCGCCTCTACCTTGAAGTCGCGCAGAGTGTTATGAAGCGACTTTTCATCCAGCCGCGTGACGAGAAGTTCACCATTGACACAGGGGTGTACAGTATCTTCGACACTGCCTTGCCCATTTCGATGTCGATGAGGAAGGAACGTCTGCGGTCAGATGTTCTGGAATTCTGGCGGTTCAGTTTCCAGTATGGATTTGAGTTGACCGATCATCAGCGCCGAAAATGTCTCAAGAGCCCTGGCAATGAGCATACGCCGGACCAAGACACGGATCAAGCTTTTCCGCTCCGCCGATCAGACATGTGGCGGCATTTCTGTGGTATCCTGAGAGCCCGGGGATTTCAACCGCCCGGCAGCATGACGCAATCGTCGCCCGTGATTGAGCTACCGCCTTTGGTACCTTGCGACTACCCAGAGGATCCTTCGCAGGAGATGGATGCGGCCAAGAGATGCGGAAAGCCCTTTGTCGATACGCGGCAGGCAGATTGGTTTGCCCTGTCGGCCGAATCGTTACGGCAGCCTGAATCAGCGACGCGAGTATCGGCAGGGTTCCTCCGCCGTTGGGTCTTCAGAGCTTTCTTTGGGTATCTGATGGACCATGAGGGGAGCGATACATCCGTGCGTCGCGGTAATGATGCAGACCAAGCGATACTGGACGATCCCACCTTCGTCGCCGAAGGACCCGCCGGCCAAGGACCCATCGCCCAAGGACACCCTCCGACCGCCCAGACAGCGGCAGAAGCTTCCCGCAACCTGCCGACGCGTGCATCTACTACCATGGCTGATCCGTTTGCTCCCTTGATTCCAGACTCAGCAAACAGCTTGCAGCGCCTTGGATATACCATGCACATCACGATTGGGCAAAACAGACAGACTGTGTATTTGCCAATCGATGAGCACTTCATAACCCAATTCTGCGAAGGGCTTCGGCAGCACAACTTCCAGGTCTTCGTTTTCGACGTCACTCCTGGGACTGGTGACGAAGTCCTCACTGAGATGACGGGTCGTGTTATTGTCGAAGGAGTCTATTCCCACTATATGGACTTTCCTGCCTCGGAGCTTCATGCAGAATTCAATGCACAATTCAGTGCAAATGGCCCATCTAGGAAAAGAAAACAAATCGGCGGGGAAACCCTGACGCAAGCGGCAATTAGTTGGTTGGAAAAACAAAAAGCAGAAATGACGTCACAGTTCATGGATGTCGGCGCGTAGGGACATTTCAGAGGTTTTCTGACAGGCGTAGAGCAATGGAATAATCATACGTTGTCTTGATTTTGATCCTTTCCAAATTTTAGGCAATGAAAATGAAAACCGTGATTCTTTACATATTTAGGACACCTTGACATAAGAAAATCTCCCCAGATGTCGACACAGTGATGCACTCTCATTTGAGAGGCAGCTGGTACAGACCCCATAGCCTCAAACCAAGCAGCGCACACACCGATTGAACAAAATCCTCGGCCATAGTATTTCAAACTTAGCGATCCAAATTCACTGAAAAGCAATGGAAATGTATATCTTCAAGGACTCATTGGAAACTTGCAGAGTACTGTGACTACACATAAATCGATTTGATTGTCTATTTACGAGTGGAGATTGAGTACAAACCGAGTGGTGAAGCATGTAATCTCCCTAGATTCACATCGGAAAAATAACAGGAAGTGATCAAGCAGCACAGTGTTGTGCTATCAGAGTCGCCACTCTCCAAAAGTCTACTGTTGCTGTCTCGGTAGACTTTTCGGAAAGTTTCACAGCAAGCCATCTAAGCGCAAAAAGTCCCAAAGAATCTTTTTGCGCCCAAGAATTCTTTTGCTCCGTCGAGATTGCTCGCATCTTGCATGCGATCTGTGGCTTGGTGTTTGGGACTGTCCCCGGCTTCTGCAAGAGCGGATCCGCGCTCAGAAGCATACGGGAAAGCTGACGGGAGCCACGGTGAAGGAACTGGCACGCTCGTTTCAATCTTGGCCCATTTTTCTTCTTCAAACCTTGCAGTCTCGTCCAGATAGGGGCCATGTCTGCTGGTTTCTCATTTGGTGAGATCAAGCCCTTGTCTTCCGCGTCTCTCTGCCAGTGGGCGACTTGTTGTCGGGCAAGCAGTTTCCACCGCAGATCCTGCCGTGCCATCTGGTGATTCGATGAGCGAAAGTGGTGAGGGGCGGAAATGCTGGTTTTCATTTGGCCGGGCAGAAGTGAGTGCTCTGTATCATCTCCAGGTGTGTTGAAAGGCGACTCGGGCTTGTTGTACAGGAGCAAGAAGAGGACAACTAGGATACAGATGGGCAACTCATCTGGCTGAGGAGTTTGGCTATCAAGCGAATTTTTTCTGTGAGGTGTCATAGCGGGCTTGAAATTTACAGAGACAGGCATGGCCTCTCTGAAAGAATCAAATTCGATCCTTGGGATGAAGATAGAAGATAAGGGGTGCAGGTGCCGGTGGAGCAGCGAGGGACGGGATTCTTAAATATCATGGCCCGGAATCAGATCAATGAGTCGAAGTTTGAGGAGCGGATCAAAATATGCTTCATTGAAACCCTACATTTGGAAGCAATGTTCAATTCGGACTTGATGATGTGATCAGCAAAAATGGGACAAAGTCAGTTTTCTGATCCAAGTGCACAGAACATCATCCCACAAGTACAATACCATATTCATGAGGCGACAAGAGAGCTGCCTTCAATGAAAAAGTTTTAATTTGGGGCCACATCATCAGATAGACAGGTTTATACTCTAAATGATAGCTCTCGATCTACTTGCAGTCATGCGATAAAGCCAGAATAAATTCCCAAGCGGTTCAACGCGATATGCATGCCTTTTTGGCTGGCTTTTGATAGTCAATACAGCGCGTATCTTCAGAGTCAGCGGAGAAATGTGAAATTCCAGCAGTATTGCAAGGGACTGCAGGGCTCTGCCTGATACGCGGATCAGTCATCGATGATGGCCGACAATGCATTGGTGATTCCTGCTCGCTTCTGTGGAATGACCGGAGAATGAGCCGGTGCAAAAGAAGCATGCAGACAAAGACCAGAGAACCTCCAAGTACACTGCCAAGCACCAACGCCATACCTCGTTGGGAAATCCTTCTTGAAAACTCGGTGCCATCCATGATGGCGCCATGCGTTCCAGGGGCCGGAGTTCTTGCAGTGGTTGATGAACTCGGGGCCCAAGTCCCGGTCTCCGTGTATGTATTGAGTAGCGTCAGCCCTTTGGGTTTAGCGGTCATATATGTTTTACCACTTCCAGTCTCATGAGAGACGCTTGTGTATGATGGCGATGGCAAAGGTTGAGTGGTGGAGTTATTGACACCCACACTGTTCCTGGCCCCCATGGGCTCCTCGTGGTGGGTGGAAACTCCGCTGCTTTTGGTCTCCGAGTCAGCCAGGGAGAACGGAGAAAGCCTGGGAGTATCGCGAGATGTTGGGGTTGATAAGGTCTCTGCGGCTTCTTCATTGGCATGAACCGTTTCGACTGGGAAGGAGGTGCCCTGGCTAAAAGTAACCAATGGCCACGATGCAAAGCTCATCGTTTCAGCGACATGGCTCGAAATATTAGCAACATCATCGCGAGAGTCACTGCTTGCCTCATGAGGCGTACTCGTGATTTTAACTTCCAGTGAAGCCATGGCAGAAGTGTCTTCTACTGGGGCGCCCACCTCTGTCAAGCTCTGGAAATAATCAAGCGAAGAGGATGGAAGCTGTGGATTGACATCCGAGAGCGTAAATTCTTTTCTGATCGATGTAGAATACGGCTCAAAAACAGGCCAGGGGGTCAATTGCGATGCATCTTCAGGTGACGAGACTTCTTGAGTGATATCGACAATGACGACTGTCGGCTGGCGGGTGTCAACGGACTCATTGTATCTGATAGAGCTTCTCATACGAGAGCATTGTATGCTGGAGCTCTTCGTACACATATCAGCAAGCATATCTGGGCAAAGGACATATCGGGGGACAAACGTTATAGACACACATGGTTTGGTTGGTGGAGTGAGGACAGGCATGCTTGGGAAGCATCTCAAGAAGTAGGCTGTCTGTACAAAATTGGAGGGTTTGACGTGTATCACAAACTTCCGGATCTGAACTCCAAGCACGTTAATATTATAAAAAAGTGAGCTCAACACCGTGAAAATCTCAGAAAGTGATGCTTGAAATTTTGCCAATGACTCAAGTATGCCGGTGTACCACGGGCCCCTTCGGATACAGCCGACCTTATATATCTGCGGTCGCAGAATACGGTCAAGCAACTTTCACAAACCTGAGGCGACCGTTGAGCCAGTCTTTCCTGCGTGCATCCCATTACATACAAAGAGAGCGACGCCCGGTGCCAACAGTATCTGCGAAATACTCTATCCAACCTACCAATGGCTCAACCTCTGAGTCGTGTCAAGCGAGAGCAACTTCGCAAACGCCGTAATAATCTACTGCGTCGGCACAATGAATTTTGGCTGCTGTATGGGATCAAAACATGGCTCATCATGGAACAGCCAGATGGGCAGATCTTCACCTACCATTCGCATCCTCACGTTCCTCCACCATCACGAGAAATGATCGTAAGAATCCAGGATCCAAAGAATGAAATGCTGGAAGACTAACGTTTGAAGCAAAAACGCACCGCTGTGAACAAAACACCTCGTGATTATGCGGTTTCCGCCCAGCCTGCCGAGACAAGGCTGCCCGTGATCTCTTCTCCGGCTCATTCAAGTGATGCTTGGAAAGCGTTGGAGGAGCATCTCCAGAACAACCGACTTGGAACACGCAGTACCAGAAGCGCGCTATAGGAGAATCAATAATTGCTGATCTTCGCGGCTGTCATGCACACCACCGTTTGAACTGCATCCAGTCTCGCTAGAAATACAATGCCATTTTCTCAAATCTCAGTTCTTTTGCTATTTCTACTGTTTCTATAATCTTGCTGTTTGGTTCAAGTCCTAAACATCATCTCCTTCCAGCTGCAAGTAGATAGTCCTTTTGCGCTCAGAAGTGACGTCGCAAAGATTAACTGGGGTCCATCAAATGCCGCCGATGGTGTCGATGAGCTCTTCCGTGGCTCGCACTCGGATCAAAATGGACTAAATTCACATCAGAAATGTATGGAATGTGAGTATAGAGGTGATGAGTACCTAAGCGATGACCATATTCTTCTCCGTCTCGGTCGCTATCGTGAGCCAGAAGGGAGGGAGTGATCTGTACCATTTAGCCAAAAACCCCAATTGCGCATAGAATACCCGTACACGACTTACTTTCGTAATCGTAGTGCTTTCCTTGGAAATAGAGGTCGATGGCCAAAGGGGCCTAGACATCTGATACTTTATCAGCATACAACCAAGCCCAGTAAGCAGAACAGGGTATACGCAACTGAGCATGCTACAAAGAATCCCATTGCGAATATACTGAACGCGACCATAGTAGCAGATGCACGCAGTCTGATTTGATGACCTTGAGAAACTCTGCGGCTGGATTTATACCCTGCAACTCATTCCAAAATATTTGAGGCTTGCCGCAAAATGTTGGTAGCATGATCGCCCAGCTGAAAAGCCCATGTCATAATCCGGCTGGCTACATGGTCTCAATTTTGGTCACCTGCAGAAAAGCGCGAGGCTGCTTGTACGACGCAAACACCATGTGCGCGTAGGTATATCTGGCGAGTTCAATTCCCTTCAAATGCGTTCTTTGCTTCTCATCGATCAGCCGAATTCCGGAAGAAAGATCAACACCACTGTCTTGAGAATATGCCGTCGGAACAGGCCTTAGTGTCGACAGGTAGGTGCGTATGTGCGATACTTACATCAGGGCTGACTCTCTTCGCGACTAGACACACAGGAATTGAGAACCACTACTGAGAACTTCCAAATCTTCGATTCCATTCCCAGCTCAACACGCTATTCTGAAAGCGATCCAGTACCACCTCGAAGACCACATCTTTCAATTCCTTCAGAAATGGCTCTTGGCCGAATCTCAGGCCGTAGGCTGGACGTGCGTCGAGGCAATCGAGTTGCACAAGGTTTTTGAGTTCTTGGCCGACCACACAGAGCGAATAGAAGCGCAAATAAATTGTCCACCAGCACAGTCGATTCAGAAATGGCATCGCGTGATTAGCAACGTTCGTCACGCGTCTGTTCACCGTATTCCGCAAGCTCGAGACATCTTGCTTCGAATGGTCCGACACGCGATCGGCTTTGTGGGAAGCATCGCCGGCGGAAGAAGCCCACAAAGCCTTCGTCGACTTTATCGCTTCGTCAAGACAATACTTCATGTCTCAGATCGTTTGCAAGCCCAGCTGAGAGATAAAGTGAGGTTCCAAGTGCAGTTGTGCAACGCTCACCCTGAGCAGCTCGGACGCCGATTACAATTACTGCCAGAGGCCACGAAGAGGGTTCTTGCAAACATCGAGCAGCGCATGGTGTCCCAAATTCAAGATTTTCTACAGCTCGAGTTTTCCTAAGTCAAGGCCGGCGATCGGTTAGCTTACGAGAAGAGCACAGATCAGGCTAGTGCGCGATGTAGTCTCCGCAGAGAAAGCTGCAGTGAATGTGTGAGCGGCAGCAGCTTTGTATGTGTCTAATCACCAAATGTAATATTCACGTCTGTGGTCCCATGTACAATGCGTATCCCAGATCCATGGAAGTAGTCAGCAAACAAATTGTAGGTCCTTCACCTCATAGCCATCTCGTCGCAACTTTCTTATCCGAAAGCCCACACTGTCGTTTCCATTCGGTTTCCGCCTGCGCTTCTTCCGTGCGTGATTTGTCCAAAGCCGCTCGGAGCAATACGATTGTCCGGATCAGGCGGGGATCTCCAGCGGGACTTGCTCCGGGCTTGAATTGGTACTGCAGCGCCAGATCCTGAGTGGAGTCCATCACGGTCGCGACGAGTCGATGGAAGTTCTTGAAACAATCGGTGTAAAACTCATTCTCTCGCTCTTGCTGGTTTCGTTGTTGCAGCCATTGCTGTTTCAGTGCTCGAGGCGTGGTCTTGGGAGATCTTTTCGACATCCTGAGTCGGGGCCGCGTCGCTTCCACAGCCATCGTAGACCCTCCCGCCATGGCAATTTGGTGATCGAGTGAGTTGATTTCCGGGAAAGAAGTTTGGAGTGGCGGAGCAACCGGTGTCATTGCAATCAGCTCGGCATCTTGTGCAGGGTCAGCAGGCCGACTGTAGATGCTTGTGGCACTGTCGCGAAAATGGACGGAGAGGGCTTTGCGGAAGGCGTTCATGGTGTAGAAAAATCGACAGGAGTGATCTCTCTAGGCGCGAGAGCGTATGTCGAAGACTAAAACAAAAATATCAAATCGGGATCGGGCCGTTGACATTTGAGCTAGCGTGTCTTACGTCGGCTCTGTAATGGTGGATCTCAACATACTACGAAGCTTAGTCTCTCTTTAACTACCAGCGGTGCTCGTGAAGCGCAAGAAATCACTTCAACAAAAAACACACATTATTTTGTTTTCTCTCTTGCGACAGCCACGATAGTATGATCTGTAAGCCAAACCCGAAGGATTAAACGCCCCATTGCATATAACGAGAATTGTGAGACTCACAATCGACCGGGCCATCAACATCACAGCCGCCTTCGCTTCTGTCGTGCCGTCGGCTCTACGAAACGAATCGTCCTCTTTGCCTCACAAGCACAGTAGCAGTGTCTCACGGGCGGCCAGGATGGCGTTTGATGGTCTGCACGGCCAAAGTGAGCAAAGGCCTGCTGCGCCTCAAGAAACTCCTGCGCGCACTTTGGAAATCCGCCAATCTTCTCACAAGAGACACCATTGGCGATGTTGATCGTAAAGCGCTCTTCAAGACTGGCAACGTGAAAGGCGACGCGTTTTCTGTAATATCCGCAAGGTGTGCAGCGGTCATTGGGGTCTACATCACCCAAGGAATGATCCTGACCAATCTGAAATTTCGCACCAGGGATCTCAACTAAGACGCGCGCGAGGATTTCGCCAGCCCCCGGGCGTGAGCAAAGGATGGACCCTTCGCAGTGAAATCCGACCTGACCCGGGACAGGAGTGGCGTCAAACTCGAAGAAAAACATTGCGGATGCGAGCACCGTTCTCACCAGCTCGACTGGAATGAGATACTCCATTTCGGACAATTGGTGTAATGCGCTGGTGTCATCTAGTTCGGGTAGCGGACCGGGGATGGCATGATCGAGTCGAAGTACATCCGGTTTCGACCAATGCGGTAAGTAATTCAAGGCTTCCAGAAACCCTTGGGGGCCGTCCATCGAGGGCGATGACATTGTGGCGCGAAACAAGCGAGGGAGCGCGCCGTCCCAGGTCGAATATTGCGGGCATTGCGCAGAATCAAGCGCGGTACATCCCGTGCCAACCGATAAAAGCAGATCATGTCGTTTCGCGCGCGGCCAGATGACGCCCGATTCCCTCCACGCAATGGCGAGCGGGTTGTTCGCGCGTACTCCACCATCTTGGAAAGGGCCGAAGCCTGGTAGCCGTCTCGGCTGAAAATAGCTGCCGCGTGTTAGCCGTGCTGGTTCCGAATCGATGGTCTTTCACTTACAAGGGCGCTGCGACACTGCATTCGGCTCTGGTGAAAGAAAAACGTTAGCTCTCTGCACTGTGGCCCACAAATCGCAAGAGTTGTTCGCAGAAGCCAACTCACATGTCGCACAGATATGGATTCTCTTGGTCGTGGCTGGGCGTCAAAAATTCGTAGGCGGCGTCTGCACGGCGATGGCCCGTGCCTCGGTAATTGGCAAGCACGCAGGCCTTGCCGTCAGATGTGCGACTCGCAACGACGGCCACCCGACATCCGGCAGGACTGGCAGTGGTCACGTCAAAAATACGACGGTCCGCGGGCACTGCCTCTTTTAGGGTCTGGGCTAAATTCTGTGAGTCATACAAACTACTGGGGATCACGTTGAAAGCCGAAGCCAACCATCGAACGAATCGCGGCACCGGGACCCGTGAAGCATGGAATATTTTTCGCGCTAGGTCGGGGAATGCCCGCGCACATTGCTCGACCGAAGCGTGGTTCAAAAAAATATCAATGGCCGTTAACGCGCCTGCGCATAGTACTGTTAGCGTGGTGGTGGAAAAGGAGGAAGCGCGGAACGTACCAACACTCGTTCCGAGACACAAGTCGGGCAGAGACTCGATCGGCAAGCCAATGCGCTTCTCCAACGCCCGCAGCAGGCCCAGTTGGATCAGCCCGCGGACGCCACCGCCGTCCAAACTGAGGACCACCGGGTGCTTCGTAGGGGGTAATTGGCGTATACGGGCGAGGAAAGTCTCTTCACAGACGGGGCATTCAGTGAGGTCCCAATGATACTCACCGAGGGAACTTGACTTGCCAAAGATTACGACACAGGCGTCACAGAGTGCATGTTTGCACGGCATCATGTGTTCGGGCGGCCGACACAAGCATACCATGCAGGTCGTGGTGGAATAAAGGCCTCCCCATTGGCGAAATAAACGCTGCAAGATACCCTTTCGAGCCGTGGCAGAGGTGTTGTTGGCGCTCAGTTGCAGGAAAAGCCGTTTGAAATGCGAACCGATACCGTCGCAGAGACTGCGAGTGGCACCTTCACTCGAAATTTCGGCACAATGCTTCTCATACAGTGCAGCAAAGACAATGGGCGGGGAGAAACCTACGCGTGTCAGTATGAGCATTGAAACGAGAACTGTGATCTTACCGTGCATTTCAGGGGGATACGCATGCATGAGGATGGCCGAGGCCACAAAGACCTGCATCTCGTCCTCGGCGCAGCCAGCCGATATGACGATCTGAGCGCCTTCTCGAAGATAGCGACCCATGGCTCCGTCGTCGGGATAACCTCTCCGGGCTTCGGTCAGGAGATCAAAGGGCGGTGCGATTCGACATCGCTTGTAGCTTTGAATAAACGATTTCCAGAAGGCGCCTAGATGAGACGCTGAAATGTGACCTCCGGGGGACGCTTGCTGATCCCGAATGGCGGACAGCTGCTCCATGATGACAGTACGAAGAGGTTCGAATGCGACCGTATCGGAGAGGCCGCATCTTGGTCGCAGATCCAGGACGACGGTCTCCCCAGTCTCAGCAAATGCTTCGAAATCGGCAAAGTGCCGCGCTGGTATAGGATTCGAATCGTCGTGCTTGGTCAAGACGATAACTATTCGCATGGATGTGGAGACAGGCTGGCCGCCAATCGCAAGTTGTCGACGTGGCTGCTGCAGCAGGTCTTGGGCAGACTGCAAGTCAGATTTGGAATCGATGAACAGGCACAGAATCTGGGTCCATGGCAGAACAATTTGGGCTTTCACTTCTTGGTGTAGTTTTGCTGGTGAACAAGCATTGCCAGCATCTGATATAGCGTATCGTCGATGTCGGTGTGTAGAATGATGTTTGAACCATCTTGAATCTCCATGGCTTTCTTCGAGATGCAAGCTACTCTCGGCAAAAAGGACGGGTTTTTCTGTATGACCGGATCTCCCACTGAGATGAAGTCGAACCAAGCCCGCGGAACCTTTACGTGTGACATTGTTGTGGGGGTTAAGAGCTCGCAGAGCCTTCAGACGATTTGGGCCCCCCGCAAAATAGACCAAACATGGACATTGGCGTTTCGGACATGGCATTCCCTGCACCAGCTCCTCTAGACGGCCAGTATCCACCAAAGTCCAAGCTCCATCTTCATTGACAAGATCAAGCCATGCTGCCATCGGGCCGTCTGATTGTTTGAACAGAATGAGATCGAGGCGAGTCTTTATATAGTATTAGCCACGCCGGACACGCTACAAGTAATACTGCGGATGTGCCGCTTGCATTACAAATTGATGACTTGCACCCTGCTTCACCGCAAAAGCTGAGGCTGCGCTTAAACTGAACATCGGCATGTTAGGAGGGAGCACTTATCAGCCACATCCTAAACGACTGTAGAAGGAATTTGCACATCACACGGCTATATTTTCAACCTCGCTTTTTTCTGAAAGTAATGGCTGACCATTCTATCGAGGCGTGTGCCATTAAAGTACTCTAGCCAGTTCACAAGAGCGCATGGATAAAGTGACAAGGCGTAGACTCCCAAAGCGCCAATCGGCGACTCGTTAAGAAACAAATTTTCAGTCAGAGAGCGCATGTATAATCAGTGTACGCGACAATCGGCGGGCTACAAGAAGTCTCATCGTATATCTATGTGGCGGTAGTTGATAACAACTTACCGGCGCGTCTTCTTGTTTCTTCTTCATTGACCGGTGCTAATAAATGGCGTATGGGGTCTTTGAGTCACAGCTTTTGATAATTTCATAAGAAAAATATGTACCATTTGAGATATTAAAGGACCCCGTCACTTACGACTATATTTTGAGCATCAATTCAACTGCTTTATCTCTTTTTCTGTAGCCCTCGGACTCGCGGCTCAATAAACTGTAGACTATGTATCTGAAGCAAAGCACTTGCTTAGAGAAAGTTCCAAACAATTTTGACACGATGTGCAAGTGTCATAGGGACCCAATCTGAGGGCCCGCACATTAGTGAACTCAGGAGCTGTATAGATAAGAACTTTATTGAGATTTTGAAGAGGTTTTTGAGACACAAACTTTTTGCGCTGAGCATGCGAACAGACAGTGGACTTTGTTAAGATTTGAAGGTATAAATATGTCCTTGTTGCTGGGTTAGGATACGAGAAATCTGCAAGTTTTCTGACACCTGACAGAAGGCAGGACTCTAAGATATGTCCTCAAACTCTGCCATGGGGGTCGTGAAAAACACGAAGAAAGATGCACCAGGGAGGAACAAAAACCCAGAGACTCTTCAAATGCTTCTTGAAGAAGCACAGAAGGCGGCACCCTCTGACAGACATAATCCTGATGTTGATGGCCAAGATTCTACCACGGGTGGGCATGAAGACAACCAGCAGTCCACTGACGACATCGACGAAGATCCGCCACATCCAAAAACTTCAAAAGCATCACATGATATTCAAGAAGAGAGACATCCAGAGCCGGTGAATACAGACGAGCATGGGTCCCGCAATGTGGAAATGTTGGATGCTGGTTCTGCCGAAGATTCAAGCTCCGATCCTGCTATGCCAGTAGAACCCGATGCCAATATCCGAAACGGCAAGCTGGAATTACTCGAAGACTTTGGAAAGCTCAACATAGGAAAAGACGATATCGGACGCAAAAAGAAAGAGACGAAAATGGGAGGTCGCAATCCAGCCGACATCGACTGGTTTGGCGGCAAGGGGACAAGCCGATTCTGCATATTTCGCACTGGTCCCTCTCAGGCTCCGAGATACGAGTTCCACAGAACGACTGCGTATAGTGTTCCAGAGCCGAAGTGCATCTATGAACGCAGCAATCGCATCTCGCAGCTCCGTTGGGAAGATGAAAATGGGAATAAACACTGGCAATATACAAGAGAAAACATTGGTGGGACTGCTGCTATTACCGTGGCGGAAAGGGATGACAATAAAACAATCTGTGTCCAGTGTCCACAAACATGGGTCAAAATCGAATGGAAGAATATCAAAGAAGAACATCAGGAGCTCCTGATTGGCGGATACAGTTGGATACCCAGGTCGGATATGATTCGGTTGCTCGGCGAAAAACAGGCAGCAATTAGACTTCAATTCGCCTGGGATGTGCAGGAGCATCGCTATGTTGAAGCCATGAGAAAGAAGGGCAGGTTCATTGATCCCTTGACGTTTCCTTTATATACCTTCAACGAAGTCAAGATGGAGCGAGAACGATCTCGGTCACAGTCAGTCATGCCCTCCTCTTTCTTGACGTCAGATCGACTGCCATCCGTGGCACCAATTGGAAGAGATCGCTTAGGAGTTCCGACGGCTGGTAAAAGCATGGGTGTGAAGGAAGAGGAAGAAGAGCAATATGCCCAAAGGACCGCGCCGTCTCATCTTCCTGGCGAAACCGGTGAAGCAAACGTCACTGACCGAGGGGACAGAGAAAGAGCTGGCAACAAGAGACAAACAACAAAGACATTCAATGTGCATTCTTACTTGGCGACAGTGGAGAGGGTAGAGAAATGGAGCGAGGCTGACAAAAATAAAAGAAGAGCAATAGCTCTGGCAAATTACGATCACTATAAAGAAGCGAGGGAGGCCTTGGGCGATAAAGAGGAGGACTAGAAGTTGGCGAGAGTTACCAAAATGACAAGTTTTGGAGGAAAAGGGGTGAAGGAAATGAAGTTTTGATTTTGTCGAGTGTGGATTTTTGCTTTCTGCTACATTAATAGGTATACGTTGTTTTATGTCAGTCTTGACCCACCAGAATGAAAGTCCACTTTTTCGGGTTCATCACGTTATTTACCACCGATGAAGTAGATAAACTGACTATTAATTACGGGACTTGTTTGGGCGTCAGGTATCCAGGAATCGGGGGAAAGAACCCTCAACGAGAAGATCATTCCCAATCCTTTTGTTGATCCACGGATATATGTATATTGTTTAATTTGATTCGGTATCGTGGATCCGTATGCTTGCCTCGCGATTCTCAATCATGCATTTTCACTATTCTTGCTCACCATTTTCTCCACCAAAATCGGCAAAGCGCGGGCTCAATTGAGCAACGACTCGGGTGCTCTATACATAAGGGAATGGAGTCTTGGAAATCAAATCATCCGCCCAGTCACCATGCTTTGATCCCGACTGAAAAACCTTCCCGTTGACGATCCCATGGATCAAGAGAGCTGTATTAGCGATGAAGCAAGCGAACAGCTTCATAGTGAGCTCCGACACATCCCGGAGGGTCGTTGCGTAGCAGATCAGCAGTCGCAGCAGACCGTTTTCCTTGGTATTTCCCCTTCGTCTGTGAACGACTGGAAGACTACTGATGCCTTCCGCGAGCTATATCAAAATCGGTACGTGTCGAGCCACCCCGATTAGGGATTTGCTGATACCAAGCAGGAAAGATGCCATCCTGGAAAGATTTTAGCTCGACCGACGAGACTTCAAGCTATAATTTGAAGACGACCAAGATCACTCCTCCATCATAGGTTCATCGACCTCCAAAGATTATGTGGACCGTCAAGCTGGAGGACTTATCAAGTAGGAGAAAGACCGGTCGGGTCACCTTCACCAATGCCCGGACGCAACTGCCCGTCGAGTCTCTCATCATGGGACACACAACCAAAGACAGAGACCACCGATTGAGTGGCTTGCATGGAGAGGGCCTCAAACTGACTGTGTTGCTCATGAATTGACATCAATACAAAATGAACATAGCTGCAAGCAACTGCAATTGGAGATGCGGGCTGCATGGGCCGCAGCAGTTTCTTCGCTGCGTCATCACGACTGCACGCAAGATATCTCGTATTGATTGGCGAGCGGCCGCTGACGACATGGCTGAGTTACACTCCCGGATAGACCGAGATGTCGCAGTGATCATAGGGACCGGCCGGGTAGGGCTTCTGGCTCTCTCCCAAAGTCGCATGGGATATCGATGCTTGTTGTATTCCAATTTCCAGTTTACATTGAAAAGGGGATCGTCTGTTTACCATTTGCTCTATCTCCTCGAGCTTCGAGGTATTTCCTGAATTTGAGTCCGAGTTCTTGACACCATCGGATGGCATAATGGTAGGTCAGAACAATAGTCGCTCTGAGCTGAACTGATGTGTCAGTGGGAACTGTTGGTGCCTTTGGCTTTGCTAATTATCATCGTGGACGCCATAAATGCCCGTGTGTACAGAAAAGAAATTGAGTCTCCCGTCATTTTCAGGACACTGAGTTTTCTTGTTCGAGTGGATCGCAATTTTGCTCTCAGGACGTTGAGATGCCATCAAGATTGAGTAAGGAAGAAGAATGAGACACGTGGACCCCAGTGATCAGCTTTGGGATGCTCCAACATCATATTCCTGAAAAGTACAGTTCCAGGCGAGACCATGTTCCACGCAAGTGAGTGACTCAGAAACTGGGTGTATCACCTCAAGTGACGAATGAGGAGACCGGCGGCACGTTCTGCACTTCATGCATGCTCGTGCTTTTACTACAGATCGTCTCGCGATGCAAAACTGCGATCAAAGTCAACATCAGGCCTACAGCTAGACAGTATGAAAGAGAATGCAATCAATGTGCTCCTTCTGGGGTGCAGGACATCTTCATGACTCGTGTCGTCAATAAAAGGCTCTTGAACCATGGTATTTTTGCCATTGGCATCACAATTCTAACGCAGCGAGAGGACCTGTCTTCCAGTGGTTAACGCAAAATTTCCTTTTCTCAGAAGAGGCTCTTATCTCGATACACCTACTGCCGGGTATACTTGTCTTTGCTTTGCCACAAGGAATTAATTTCCCACATCCAATTGAGCATCACTACCGGCTTCCAAATCCCCAGTACTGCTGTCAGAGTGCACATCAGTGGGCTTTCTTTCCGCTCAGCGCTCTCCTTTCGAGATTCGCTCTCACAATGGCAATTTGGTCTCTCTTTTTGGCGATCCAAAGCCTTCAATTGATTGCTGAAGCGTCTAATGCCTCTCCCCATCTGTCTAGTCTTGCGGAGGAAACCGGAAATCCCCTTCACGAGCGCAGCACTGGTCTCTATGCCGCGGTGCTGGGTGGTAACGGTATGGTCGCGGATGGCTGGCCCGGCGTTGACCAATGGGTCGAATCTTTTGAAGCCATGTTTGAGAATAACAAGGCCATCATGTCCGCCAGTTGCTCCCAATGGGGTCTACCCAATAACTCGGATGACGAGACCAATTCCATCAAGGATGCCATCCTCCAAGTGGAGCAGTCGAGCGGCGTCGACGCCCGCTTCATTTTGTCGATCGTCATGCAAGAGAGCAAAGGGTGTGTTCGTGTTCAGACTACTGACAATGGTGTGGTCAATCCGGGACTAATGCAAAGCCACGACGGCTCTGGTTCCTGCAACAAGGATGGAGCCATCCAGAACCCTTGTCCTGAGAGCGAGATCCATCAAATGATCATGGATGGCGTCGAGGGCACCTCGGCCGGTCCTGGCCTCAAAGCGTTGATAGACCAGGAGGGGGGTTCCGCACATGTAGCTTCATTCTACAAGGCCGCCCGAGCTTACAATTCCGGCGCGGTTGCCTCTAGCGGGAATTTAGGTCAGGGAATTGCTACTCACTGCTACGCCTCGGACATTGCCAATCGCCTTATGGGTTGGACCAATGGCCCTAGCTTGTGCGCTCCCAATGTGATCGGCGTGTTATCTGCTGCGCATTGGGAGGGCAAGAGCGTCAGTGCTTGCCATGGGACAGCAAAAACCTCACATTTCCGATCAACTCCTTCGTCTCACATGTACTCGCTGTCGTCCCACCCAGTTGCAAGTGCGCTGGATTCACCGTATACTTCAGGATTTGCCACGACTCCTGTGGTGATTTCTCTTGGCACGGCCACGTGTGCTTGTAGCAAAATGCACTTTTAGTACGGACAGCTTTTAGCAAATGAGGTATTTTAAATACAAGAATGTGCCATGAGCGCCTCGGGGCTTGACGTCATGCCATTCTTTTCTCCTATTTTGGTGTGCGTTAATATAGCTCAATTGGTTTGAGAGCGCGAAGAAAAAGAAATACGACTAAGGCAGCGGACCAAATGTGATCCAATTGGGATCTGCATCGTTGCACAGATGATCAACTATTGTATTAGCACGTATAAAGACCACTCCAATGATCATTTTAAATTATTTTCTCTGTTCTAAAAGAGCAAGTAGCTTGTCTTGCAGTTCCTTGTAGTCCGCTTCTCTCTTTTGCTCCCTCTCCTTCTGCTCCGCTTCTCTCTCCTTCTGCTCCGCTTCTCTCTCCTTCTGCTCCGCTTCTCTCTCCTTCTGTTCCGCCTCTCGCTTCTCTTCCCGTAGCTTCTGCTGTTCCAGTTGAATGAGGAGCTTCTCTTCTCTCCCCTTCTGTTCCGTTTCTCTCTCCTTCTGTTCCGCCGCCCGCTTCTCTTCTCGTTCCTTCTGATCTGTCAACTGCTGTTGTAGTGTTTGCACCATCATACGTAGCTCTGGTTGTAGACCACGATTCTGCGAAGACGCTGCTCGGCGATAGCCCGGGCGTTCCTGCAATCCAACCATGGACACCTGAGAGTCAAGCTCATCAACATCAATACCAGAAACATCTTCGTCTGGGTCCGGAACTTCCTCAAGTATCCGCATCAATCTATCGGTATGAATAGGCAGGAATTCACGGTCCAAATTCTGCACAAATTGATAGCATGTCCATCGATTTTCTTTGACCCAGATGTTGGGTTGCGCAACAGGCCAGCGATAGAATGACACCTTGCCATCATCAATCTCAGGATAGTAACCGTATATTCGAAAGCCTTCGAGCTCATGCGATATTGAAAAGCCCAAAATCCGCCGATGCACCTCTTCCGTGCAGCCTGCGGCTTGGCACAAAGAAACCACGGCTCGCAGAGCAATACACATGCTATGCATGTTCTGCCGATCGGCAAGTTCCAGCGCCTGATTCCCACATTTGATTTCTGCGGTCAGGTACGGAAAGTACATGTCTTCTCGTACTGTGTACGGTGACTTCTCGTCAGGCTTGATCCCGAGTTTGCGCCGCTGAGTCTCGGAAAAGGTCGACCATCTCAAGCCTCGCGCGTGATCCGGCTGCGGCTTGGGACCATAGATCGGCTCGGTTTTCAGCCAGGGATCATTGTATCCATCGATCACATTCTTCAAAGACTGGTTTCCCTGAATGTATTGGTTCTCCGCGGAGGGCATAATCAGAGGGTGGAGGTCCACCAAGAGACGCGCTTCAGATCGATTCTGCAACGCATTATGAAAAGCCGTCATATACTCGTCTTCAAGCAAGGTACCGCTAGGGGGAACGATGGGCTGACTGAGGAGACGCTCACAGAGTGCAATATCTTCGGGCATCGGGCCGGCAGAGGACTGTCGCATGAAGCATCCTTTGGTCTCTAAGATGGTGACATAGTTGACGGCTCGGTACGCATATGACCTGGTGTCCCGAGCCGAGCTGCTCTCACTGTTGTCTGACGAGACCGACCGCGCACGCCCCCGATCCGTTGAGATCGAACGCGACCGGGATCGTTTTGATGGGGGTTGGCTCATCACTTCAAATGAATCCACCTCCGATGGCGCAGGAATCCACTGGTATATCGTGTCTGTATGTTCGTCGGTGGTATTTGCGAGGGACGCGGGAGTGGTAGTTCGGTGTTCGCGAGGATCAGGTTGCTGGGCAGTCAGTGTGATGAGTATCGCAAGTTGAGGGTCTACACATACTTTACTATCACAGTCAGGAGAGAAGGGAGAAAGGGGTTGCTGCGCTTTGCTGTGCTCGTGCTCTTTCTTCCAAAGCTCTGGATTCGTGCCGGGGCTTTCGTGCCGGCGCGCTTTTGCTGGTCGCACGTCACCATCACTGTTGCAGCCATGTAACTCAGACGGTACTTCGCGTTTCATGGTGTCGACCTGACCAATACAAGAAGATCATTGTCGCTGTCAAAATGCACCCATCGACTAGGAGATTCGGTTGTTGCGTTTCATGAAGGAGCCCAAGTGGTAATGGATGTTCGGTTTAGCGCGCGGCATGGCCTCTTGGCGTGGGCCTGTGCGCGAGAATATTTTATCCACTGCCCCTTCATCACGGACCCGCTCATGCCATTTCACCCATCGACTCCACGACGAAACAATTCTGCAGCCCAGACCACGGTGGCGTCATTGATGCCAGCTTTATAGTCTATGGAGGTGCTGTGTAAAACAGAGAGCACATACGTATATAAATATATGTATATATTTTTGGCTCGGGCTATCCATTTTCTGGATCAGACATCAACATCTAAGTCAACAAAACTATCGACTACCGCCGAACCGAATAAGTTCGACTCCTGAACTTGAAATCGATGAATATCACAAAATGGAGAGCATGACAGGATATACCGACGTCAGTCAGCTAGCAAAAGATTTGTGGAGGAGAATGGACATTCTTTTAGGAAATGATTATAGTCTGATTGAGAGTTTCCAGATCAGGATACGGGCCAGCCTGTCACAAAGGTCAGCACAATACCAACCGACAATGGTGATCAATTGTGACTCACCCCAATGAGTATGGCATGAGCCACGTTGATCTGGGCCTGACCTGCCGCAAAAGCGAAGGGGACTGTGACCGTGAAGTTCTGGTAAGGTGGCAAGTAGGTCTCGTGGTACACAGGGTCAAACAGCCCGTTGTAAACGATGGAGCCCATGATGTTGCTGGCAGGCTGACAGATTCGATGGAGGCAAGAGACAAGACCAATAGCGACAGCCATCTCTGTCGAGCCAGTCAGGGAATTCTGAATGCAGTTAGATAATGATATTGAGCCAGAAGAACGGGAGGTTGACATACGGGTCGCTGGATCTGAACGACGATATCGCTGCCAGAAACGACTGTCTGGTTGGGGTAAGGTAGTCCGATCGCCGCATTCTGGGCCAGAGCGAGACCGGCAAAGACAGCGAGGGAGGAGAAAAGTTGCATGATGATGATGAATTGTAAGCAGCGAACACTATCATACGAAAGAAGAAAGAAGATGGAAAGGAAGGTTTATGAAGAAGCGAGAGTGATATTGAACCAGAAAAAACATTTTGGACCGTAATCTAGTGCGTTCATCCTCAAGCTCTGCAGTTTCCGTTCTGGTGATGTGAGTTGCCCTTGTGATGATCCACCAGATGTCTGCACAGTGAAGCGTCATCATTCTTGTAGTATTTCCAGTTCCTCTTTGTTGGTACTTCTCGCCTAGGACAAAATTCAGCAGGTAGTTCGCGCGCTTCGATAGGGCAAAGTACCTTCGAGCATGGCAGTACTTTTGCATCAGACATGCCTCCCAATTTCGAACCGTTTCCCGAAATACCAACAACCTTGAGCGTCTTCTTTCCCAGCTTTCCCATCATTCGACCATGGGATCTCGTTCCGCAAGTGGAGCATGCGCTTTGCCAATGCATCAAACTGTCCCCCGTCGGTATGTTCCACCTTTTCCACTGTCATTTCCAGGCCCAGGACCGCTCGTATGAGCCTCTCGTTCATGTCCCCTTCGATCTTCATATTAATCACAAACACCCAAGTCCGATACCATATCTCATCCAGGCGCTTTAAACCTTTATGACCCATGCATGCAAAGATGAGTTCTTTTCGAAACCAGGACGGGTGTTGTCGTTTGCGACCTTGATGATAGGCCTTTCCATGCCACATGGAATTTGGCGGCAGTGCAAGCCCAATCGCCTCTTCTAAGCGGCCGATATGGTCCCTTATTTTGCCTGGCGGAACTCCATGCTGTCTAGCAATGATGTGAACATAGTGCACCATTTCAGATGTAGGGAGCTCGAAAGATTGCTGGCAGGTAGGAAAAGTGCAAAAATCGCGACGAATCTATACAAAAGGGAATGGACGGTGCTGCTGCTACTGAAAGGTACTGCAGACACGCAATACCGGTGCTTCAGATATCAATGGGAAGACAAAAAAATCGCAATTGGATCTTTGAGTCATGATATGATTCCGGTCAACATGTTGACCCGCAGGCTCAAGTAGCTGCTTCAGGTCGCATGTCTCATTCTGCGATAGGAGAATAGTGGAGGGAATCGAATTATGCTCAGCTTAAAAGAAATCAAGAAAAAACATTTTAGATTTCAACACTTCGCTTCTTAGAAGTCATACTGTATCATTTATCTAGAAAATGCACTGACCGGGAGAAGCCCTTTTGAAAGCGCCCGCCGCAGACGGCCCACACAGCCTTCCAGATTACCTCAGGAAATCCCTCCATTCCAACCATTAGGTGACTGTCAGCTTTGACATGACACCTGCCTCCCCGACCGCAGCTTTGACACACCACTCCACCAACTAATTATGTTCCAGGTGCATGCTGGAAGCTGCCTGGCTAAATTGTACGCAAATCATCTACGCCTCGTAGCGGTCAGGAGCCCGTCTCTTCCTACCTGATCGACGAAGTGATGGCGGGTCTGATGATGGAGAGGCCACAGGAAGAAGCGGATAGTCCACGTGCTCCGATTCTTGACGCACCTGGTGTGTACTTGGTCCAGCGGTATCTAGCACCGCTTCTGCAGGTGTAGGAGAGGTCTCGTCAGAAGCTGCGGTATTGACCGGTGGTCGCTCGTTGTGTACTGTGATCGGCAAACTCCGGTGATCTGCCGCGGAGGCCCGCCTTTGCCGTTGATTCCACGCAGCCTCCACAGTTCGCATATCATAGTATGCATTGAATGGTGCATCGCTTTTACTGTTCATTTGATTAGCTCTTGCTCCTCAATTTTCAGAACAAAGACGCTTAACATACCATACTACACAAGAAGATTTGCTTCCGGGCGAGAGACTTTGAAGCCACGACGACATACACCCTAAATGGACGCAAGAGGTGCATCGGCCACATTTCAACACGAGGGAGTCATTCTGCTCTACCCCTAGACAAATCCCACATGTCCCGTCTTCTAAGCTTGATGTTGGGTGGAAATCTTTCAGGCAAAGTAGAGTCTCGTCCCCTTCCTCCCTTTCGATTGAAAGCACCGTCAGATAGTCCCCCGAAAGATCCAAGGGAGCCCCCTCCTCTCGTAGAAGAATCTCTATCATTCTCCGACCGGAGGGATGGGAGGACTCCACAGCTCTGGCATCTGTCGTGGGCTGAGCAGGGTCAGGCTGGCCGGGTGACATCGAAGGATTGAATCTTTCACGCTCCATGCCAAGGCGAGCCTCTGGCGATAGCTCTCCTTCCTCCCTGGGAGAAGGTCGTGACGTGTTGGCCTGGGCAGAATTACGGATGGCGGCTGTTGTCCATTGATCTCGGATATTGTCGACCTGGAGTTGACGGTGCCAGCGTGCGCAGAGGAAATGAGGAACAATATCCTGTAGTCTAGCAGGGAGAAGACGAAGGTCAAAGGGATCGCATGAGAGGTCGTTCAACTTTTTAATACCCATTTGGTGGACTTCCTCTGTCACGATGAGTTTGCACGGTCTGGCTTGCCTGGTGAGACCACAGCATGTTCTGTTCGCTTTGTCCGGCACTTCACAAATCGCGAAGGCATCCCAGAGATAAGGTGGAGGCATGATGATAGTCGGGCGAATAAATGCTGCGAGGGCGATGATTCGACGAAATAGAGTGTTGTGAACGCCGATGATTTAAATTTGAAGTTGACTGTCAGTCATAGCCAGACATCTTATAGTTCTTGATCATAAAGGCAACCACAGGGAGACGACGAATAATGTAGACATATGCATTCCTCGAGCCTGGTGCTGATGATGGCACATATCATTCTCGATGGGAATATCTACAGGATGAGAAGTGCTGCTTGAAGTGCATCAAGGGGCAATAAGGGCCACCGGCGCCTGCAACCACAGTTCCGCCCCCAGGTCACCTTACCTAGATCCCAGGAATCCCGATCCTAGCCCTGAGATCTTGGGTGAGCGCTCTAGGAGCGCGGCACCTCCCAGGACTAATCATGATGATCCTTGAATTGACCGTGAGGGACATGGGATTTCGCTTCGTGAGTCCAGGAGCAGCTTGTGCATTCATCAACGCACATACCACTCGGCGCAGCAATCACGTATATGAGCGTCCGCCATCGTATCCTAGGCTAAAATTTGTGTGAATGCATTGCGTGTCTTGTCTTTTGAAGAGCATGTAAAAAAGCACTTTGCCAAGTCGGCATTGTTTGAAACCACATACACGAAGTAAAACGGGTAATATGGCGAAGAGGTTTTTTAACCCAAGGGTTCAGGTACGATATCTTGAATTCCATCAGTACATCAGCGATAGTCAAATGAAAAAATGACCCGTGGAAGACAGCGCCTTGTTTCCAGGGTTATAGCCTCGATCACAGATGAAGTCATAAATGGCTCCCGGAGCACAGGGCCAGATCCTGGGACCAGATTGATGCTTTTTTTGCAAGATTACCCTTTAGCACCAATATACTATGTTGTTGGCCACCTATTATCGTCGTGGTCATTCCTGCAGGGTACCATTGGAATTCCAGGTATACCTCATCGAACGAATGCAGAAACCAGCGTTCATTCTGCGCATCCCGAGTCGACATATCTATTCAAGAATGCAGTCAACTAGGCCTGAACATATGGACTATTCTCTAACGATCTGGTGGATGTCCTTGCCAGCATATATAAACCACCATCCAGATTTTTACACCACGTTGTCAATCTAGCAATACCTCATCCCTCATATCTCTTCCAATACATCCATTCTCACCACCATCATGTCAAGCGCTCTGTCATACCCTAGCTCTCCACTGGAGCAACAGCTCTCCCAGCCCGATGCGCTCCAAAAGTACCTCTGCAGGTGCACTACGGAGATCAACAAGATACATGGAAGACACACGCCCTTGATGCTTGCCGTCCAAGCGAGGGATCACAAGGCTGTCGATCTCCTGTTGGAGTATGATGATCTTCGTGCTTCTCAATGCAATATCTACGG